TGGCTATAACTGGATGTGTTTGGATCACAGGGGTCTTGGGTGGGGGAGGGGTGCATCCTGGCTATAACTGGATGTGTTTGGGTCACAGGGGTCTGGGGGGTGCGTCCTGGCTGTAACTGGATGTGTTTGGGTCACCGAAGTCTTGGGGGTGTGCATTCTGCATCCAGCAGCTCTCACACGGCAGTTGTGGTCCCCGTTGCTGGTCCGGCCTGTTGTGGAGTAGCGGGGACATTCATGGGCGGACACAGAGGCTGAGATTCCACCCCAGTCAGAGCTCTATTCCAGGGGAAAGGGGAGAAACTGAGTCAGGCTTTGTTCTGCAAAACAGTGACGCCGCTCAGCCAGCGTGGTGGGCTGCAGCACACTCAGTGGCTTCATTTCACTCTCACGGTAACCCCTGGGGGTAGATTCTACGATGACCCTCATTTTTACAGAAAAGGAAGCAGAGATGGTTCACAGCTGAGCCACCCGTCCAGGGTGACGCCTTTGTGGAGCCCGCCAGTGTCGCAGAGGCGGTGAGCCCCTCCCGCCCAACACACAGCCCTTGGCAGGGGCTCCTGAGCAAACCCTGCAGGTGGGCAGCGTGGGGTGTTTCTCGCGAGCATCACCCGCTTCAGGACTTGGAAGCACTTGACTGGGTTCGCTGGGCTGAGGATTATGTGCTCAGTGGAAATCAATCATTCTGGGCTCTTATCCTTCCCACTAGGAGGAGTGGGACCCGGAGAGCTCCAGGACCAGCTTCCTGGCTTGGAGTCCAAAGGCAGCTCTGAGCACACGCGGGTCAGGAGGGAGGGGAGCTGGGCTCTGCCTCTGTGGCCTGGCGCATCCAAGGTCCCTTTGTGGAAAAGGCACGTGTAGCACCTGTTCCTGGAGGATAACCTGTCACTCTGTGCCTCCCCCAAGGGAGCACGCAGGTCTACACGGAAGTACCCACTGTGTCTCACAGTTCAGAAAAAGTCGTCAAAGTGCTCGGACTCAAGAAGTAAATAAGGAAATATGAAAACTTTCTTTCTTTTTTTGAGACAGTCTTGCTCTGTTGCCCAGGCTGGAGTGCAGTGGCACCATCACAGCTCACTGCAGCCTCAAACTCCTGGGCCAAGCAGTCCTCCCACCTTGGCCTCCCAAGTAGCTGGGACCACAGGCACATGCCACCACACTCAGCCAATCTTTGTATTTTCGTAGAGACAAGGTCTCGTCATGTCGCCAGACTGATCTCAAACTCCTGGGCTCCAGTAATCCACCCACCTTAGCCTCCCAAAGTGCTGGGATTGCAGACGTGAACCACCATGCCCAGCTGAAAATATAACTTTAAAAAAATCTGAGCTCCATAAGAACTAAGCCAGATCAGAAAACGAATTCTGTCTGTGGCCCCCACAGCTGTGAAATGGAGTTGCTGACTCCCCGTGCTCGGGCACAGGCCTAGTGCCCACTGCAGAAGCTGCTTTGAATGAAAGCTTGTGTTTATTCGTGCACTCACCGGGAAGGTTTCTGCCATTATTGAATCAAATCACCCCTCACGTGAGGCGTTTTTCACGGCCAGATGCAGACAGGGACACAGACGCAGCAGCACACAGCACACACGCACGTTCGGGGGCCGCTGCCTCGCCTTCGTGTCTTGGGAGTTGCTGTTTCTGTCTTTAAATTTGAGCATCAGAAGGATCTGAGACATCCGACATAAATCCCTGGCTTGTTAATGATGCTCGCAGCGAGCAGAGCACGCCCACAGACTGCATAATTTATCTCTGTCCTGCAGAATTCTGATTTTCATGTAAACCCAAGACATGTTCAGAGACTTGGAAATTAGCAATTCCAGCCCCTGCCTTAGGCGTGCCCGTGTGATTGTTTCTGCCGTGGATTGGCTGGTGGTAGCAGCTGCTGGCATCACGCAATTGGCTTGGCTGCAGAGTGAGCCCGCGGAAGAGGGCTCTCCGCACCTACTCTGTGACTCAGGCTCCTGCCGCCAGGCTCAGCCGAGGAGGGAGGCTGTCGTTATACAACGCACGAGTGCGGTCTCTGTCACAGATGTGGCTGTCGCAGGGAGTGCTGCCTCCTCTCCCGTTTCCAGCAGATGCTTGGGAACCTTCGGAAGTCTTGGAGATTTTCTCCCAGCACCATAGCAATGCCACCACGAGCGAATCCTTAACGTGGACCAGCACGGGCACCTCAGATGCCAGGACCGGCGTGATGTATGCGCCATAAGACTGTCTTGGAGGGTTTAGCCAGCTGGTCACCCGGGAAAGGAAAATGACTCGGTTCTTAGTGTGGAATAGCAAATGACTGTGCTCGGGAGAGGTGGTTCTGCCTGAATCTGTGAATCGAGGTGGTTGGTGTTAGGCTGAGAAATAAGAACACGTCGGAAGGGTGTGCCCTTCCGTAGATGAGGAGGTTCTGGGACTGTGGGGATGGGGCTGCCGGGGCCCCCGTGTGCTGTGCCTCTCGCCTGGTGTTGCGGAAATGGCATCATGAGTACGGGGGATCGCCCTCCCAGGAGGTTTTCCGAGGGGTTTCCTGGGCAGCCGGCTTCCCACCTGCACACGTTAACGGCAGCACCTCTTCCTCACTGCAGCCTGCAGGACGCTGGCATCGGATTCATCCTGGTGATAGACCGGCGGCGGGACAAATGGACCTCCGTGAAGGCGTCCGTCCTGCGCATCGCAGTAAGTGCTTCCCGGGGCTCTGCCCCGCGCCCGGCCCCTCCCTGGGCTGGGTGACCGCATGGTGCTCTTCCTCTGCCTCTGCCGCAGTTCCTGCTTTGTGCTGAGTGGGACAGAGCCCAGTCCCGGCGCGGGGAGGCTGGCGCCAAGGCCCCCCTGCTTGAGCTCCCGAGGTGCTGGTGCCTGTGTGTGTTTTCCCAGACAGGGGAACTCTCAGGGAGCCTCGTGTGACTTGAAAACAATTTCCCCGGACAGGGCGGCCCGTGTGTTTCCGAACACGGAGTCTGAGATGCTCGGGATTGAGTACACCCTCCCTCTTACACAGAGCACAGCAGTACTGACCAGGCCGGAAGGGGGCTGTGTGCAGAGACGCTCCGGGCCGGAAGGGGGCTGTGTGCAGAGACGCTCCGGGCCGGAAGTCTGAAGTGGTACTGCAGAGCTTTTCTAAGTGATTTTCTCGTTTCTAAATCGGGCCATCTATCTTTAGCTGCGACACTGAATGGGCCGCCACCGCCTCCCTTCCCCAGTAACCCAGCCTCGCACGTAGCCACCCTCCTTTCCAAGGACTTTCCCTTGGCGTCCGAGAGTCTGTTTGCAGATTCTGCGTGCTGCCTTCCACAGCAGAAGAGGAGCCGGGTTTGCTGTTGGTTTTAACCCAGAGTAATCATTTAAGAGGGAAGAGATTAAGTCAGCAGAAGCCCCCCAAATCTTACTTTTGTTGGTAGCTCCCACCCGTATGCAAGACCCCAGCGTAGAGCGTTCCTCACCCACGCTCGCTCTCCCCGCCTGTCAGTCCAAGTTTCGTTGCAGCCAAAGGACCAAAAAAGTCTGCCTGTCTTCCAGGGGGTGACCCAGAGCCTGGGTCCGGCACCGGCATCTTCGCACGCCCGCCACAGCCTGTCCCTCCCAGGCTCTGGGACCCTGGGTCCTCAGCTGTGGTGGCACAGCTGCTCCAAGCATTCCCCAGCACCAAACCCCAGTGAAGTCAGATTCTCCTGGCCTCTCCTCGGTCCTGCGTTCAGACCGTCTTTGGGTTCCCCGGCCTCTCGGTGGCTGCTGCTGCGCCAAGGTTCTGGGTATAGTGAAATAAGTCATTCCTTTCCCTGCACGTTGCCTCCTTCCTTCATCTTTTACAAGAATTAGAGGCCCGATATCTGCTCCGATGCCCACAACCTTCATCATTTTGGTGCAAGCCTGTCCCTGAGCCACTGGTTCTCACCTAAGTCTTTGGGATGAGGCATCTCCTTGTACCCGCACGGCCCCCCTCTGCCCCTCACCGTGGCTGATGCCCGTTCCTGATCCTGCCTCAAGCTGGCACACACCGCCTGTGGCATCGTTATCTGAAATAATTCAAAACACTTCAGGATGCTTCCAAAAAAGTAGACGTGTATAGAATCAGTCTTCCTTTGTTTTAACACTGCATTCGTTTGCTTTTGCATCACTCTAAAGACGTACTTGAGCTGGGTAATTGATAATACTTGAGCTGGGTAATTGATAATACTTGAGCTGGGTAATTGATAATACTTGAGCTGGGTAATTGATAAAGAAAGAGGTGTGATTGGCTCACAGTTCTGCAGGCTGCACAGGCTTAGCACCTGCATCTTCTCAGCTTCTGGGGAGGCCTCAGGGAGCTTCTAGTCGGGGCAGAAGGCAGCGGGGAGCCGGCATCACCTGGTGAAAGAGGGAGCAAGAGAGAAGGGGGAGGTCCCAGACTTTTGAACAGCCAGATCTCGAGTGAATTTTCTGAGCGAGAACTCACCCATCACTGGGGAATGGCGCCGAGCCATTCATGAGGGGTCACCCCCATGACTTAATCACCTCCTGCCAGGCCCCACCTCCAGCACCGAGAATCACATTTCAACATGAGATTTGGAGGGGACAAAAGTCCCATCCATGTCAAGCATCCCCAGAAATGTAGAAAGTTCTTCAGATGAGCCATCACCAGCTAATAGCAGCGTGTCCCTTTCGTTATTGTACATTTTAAATGAGTTTGCACATGAAGTCGTAGGCAATTCTAAAAATTAAATCGTAAGAACCCACGGGGTCAGACACACAGGGAAGGACAACAGATACTCTTGGGAAGCACACATCAGTCCTGGGCAGGTCCCACAATGTTCCCAGCAAGTACGCCATCGTTTAAAGAACAGATAACACCGTTACAGCCACATCTTTCACACTTATCTGCCGCTGATATAAACCATTGGGATGACTCTTAGCAAGACGTGGGTGGTAGGAGTCAGCCTCCCTGCCAGGGCACTTGCAGGTGTCAGGACGCACCTGGGTGCCCTCCATGCCCATGGGGTCCAGGCACCTGCATCTTTGCACACCCGCCACAGCCCGTCCCTCACACGGCTCCCGAGCCAGCGTCCCTTTGCCTGGACTCTGACTCTGCTCCTTCCTCTCAGAGGCCACGCCTTACTACGTGTGCCCCAGCATCTCTGCTCACACCTCACTACGTGTGCTCCAGTGTCTCTGTTCATACCTCACTACATGTGCCCCGGCCCCTCTGCTCACACCTCACTACGTGTGCCCCAGCGTCTCTGTTCATACCTCACTAC